GAGCTCCAGCGCCAGCCCCGGGCACGCGGCACTTGCAGGGTATGCCGGGCGCGCAGCACTTGGAGAGCGCCGGCTCCCAGGCGCGCGGTGCTTGGAGGAGGGGGGGAGAGAGCGAGCGCCAGCGCCGGCCCCGGGCGCGCGGCACTTGAGGGGAGAGCGCCGGCCCCGGAATGCGGCTATGGGGGGGCCCTGCCCCCCCGGGCACCCGGTGGGCGAACGGCCACGCCCCCTGGCGCCCAGCAACCCCAAACGGTTGGGGACCACTGCTTTAGGGGATAGCCGAGTTAATCTGTTACAGAAAAAAACAACAAATGGACCTTTTCCTATGTTTCAGAGGGGTAGCCGAGTTAGTCTGTAACCGGAAAAACTTAAAAAGAAGTGGGCTATGCCCACGAAAGCTCATGATACCATCTATATGTTTTGTTAGTCTATAAAGTGCTACCAGACTATTTGTTGTTGTTTTTGCCTCACTATGGTGATTTGTAGTAATTGCCCACTTTCATGTGCTGCCTTGAGAAAAACATGATGTTGGGTTTTTAAAAAATTATTCAAACTCTTATTCCACTCAGCTGTGATAGACTTTTTTAGTTTTAAATGGCCAGTTTCTCTTGAGTTCTCTGTCTGGTCCCTTATTGGTGACTGAAGTACATGACTGAAGGGTTCTGATTGGTGGCTAATGGCATCATCTTATATTATGGGAAGGCATTTTGTCTGGTTAGGTTTATTACAGCATCACATCACTTGAATTCCTGAAATCATCATTCTGAGTCCAAACAATTGCAATGACTTCTGTAGCCTGTCTAGATTTGAAACCCTCTTTTGATTTGTATTTTGCTGTGTAAGACTTTTCTTTTTTGTTTCAAGCGCACCATATTAGACAGAATCCCATATTAATGGCAGTCTCTCTTCATCATGCTTAATTAAGAAAATTTTAAATAACTAGAAGGCGTTTCCAGCTCATAAAAAGGACATTGTAAAATGAGGCAGTGTCACTTCTTGCCACCTCATTTTATAATGATTTAATTGGTGCCTTAACAAAACAAACTGAATTATTTGTGCTTGAAAGCTTCCAACTACAAATCCTATTGTGAAAGGTGCTTTATCCACCTGTGGTTTTAAAAAACTGTTTATGGCAAACACAGTCTGCCTGAAGTGCAAGGGATCTCCATTATTATTGTATTGCTTTTAGATGACTATGCAAATAAAATGCTACCGTTCCTTCAAAAGTTTGTGAATGGGTTTGCTGGTGTCTGGTACAAAAAAGGTTGGGAACCACTGCTTTGGAGGATAGGGTCATAATTCAAACTGGTCTGGACAAACTAGAGAAATGGTCTGTGGTAAATAGGATGAAGTTTAAAAAGGACAAATGCAGAGTACTCCACTTAAGATGGAGCTATCAGTTCCACATACAAAATAGGAAGTGACTGTCTAGGAAGGAGTACTGCAGAAAGGGATCTAGGGGTCAGAGTGGACCACAAGCTAAATATGAGTCAACAATGTGACAGTGTTGCAAAAAAAAACAACCCATGATGCTGGAATGCACTGACAGGAGTGTTGTGAGCAAGACACAAGTAGTAATTCTTCTGGTTCTGGGCACATTTCAAAAAAGATGTGGAGAAATTGGAGAGAGTCCAGAGAAGAGCAACAAAAATGATTAAAGACCTAGAAAACATGACCTATTAGGGAAGACTGGAAGAATTGGATTGTTTAGTTTGGAAAAGGGAAGATTGAGAGGGGACATAACAGCTTTCAAATACCTAAAAGGGTGTTACAAGGAGGAGAAGAATAATTGTTCTCCTTGACCTCTGATGATGGGACAAGAAGCTTAAATTGCAGCAAGGGAGATTTAGATTGGACATTAATCATTTGACAGGAAGTTTTTCCTAAACACTGGAATAAATTGCCTCAGGAGGTTGTCGAATCTTCATAACTGGAGATATTTAAGAGCAGGTTAGATAGACATCTGTCAGGGATGATCTAGATCTGTGGTCACCAACAGGTCGATCGCAAGGCGTCCTGTCTGCCCTGCCCCCATTTCCCTCCCACCCCCAAGAAGCCCCACTACCTACCTCAAGTGAAAATGGAGGTAGTGTTGGGGACGGACAGAAGTACCGCAGCTTAGTGCCACTTCCGGCGATTCCGGAAGTGTGCTAGGTGCTCTGCCGGGTATACTGTGGGAGGGAGCATCGGCTCCCTGCACCACACAGGAGGGGTGAGTCAGCCCTGGAGCAGGTGCGCGTGGGGCGGGTCGGCCCTGGGGCGGGGCGGCCCTGGGGCAGGCGCGTGCGCGGGGCTGCCCTGCTCAGGGAGGGGGGTCGGCCCCAGGGCAGGCATGCACGGGGCTTCCCTGCACTGGGGTGGGGGGGTTGGCGCCGGGGCAAGCACGCGTGGGGATTCCCTGCGCTGGGAGGGTTGGCCCCCTGCCC